TAGTTGCCCTCCCCTCTCCCAGCCTCTCTCTTCCCCTCTCCCACCTCTTTTTCCCAGTCTCCCCCAGTTTTGTTCAATAAAGACAGATTCTATTTTTGAACACAATTGTCCTTTATTTAGTACATCAGGAAGGGGGTCCAGGAAGGGTAAGTGGAAGGAGGTGAGGGAGGAATGGGGTACAAGCCCCCGATGGGGATGACTGGGCTGGCTCTGCGGGCTTCTGGGGGTGGAAGCTCTCCTGCAGCCCCCCAATTGCCCCCTCTCCCCAGATGGCAGCCTGCGGCAAGTGCAGCCGGGCTGATGGCCGAGTGCTGTGATGTGCCCAGTGTGGGTACTCCGGGCAAGCCAAGCCAGGACTGCTTTGCAAGCGGGGCACCCCTGAGAACTGTCTGTCCAGGGTGGGGGTCAGGTCCCTTTAAGCACAGCCCTTGGCTAGCCTGAGGCAGCAGCTCCACGCTCTAAGTCCTCATCTGATGCCCTGCCAGCACTGCTTCCGGCCATCTTTAACCCCGGTTCAGGGTCCACTTAATGTGGACATGCTAGTTCGAATTAGCAAAATGCTAATTCGAACTAGTTTTTTAGTCTGGATCCGTTAGTTCGAATTAGCTTAGTTCGAATTAACTAATTCGAACTAAGTTAGTTCGAATTAGTGCTGTAGTGTAGACATACCCTATGTGACCAGTAATTTTTTTCACTGGTACAGCTACATTTGTGACTAAAATCCCACTGCAGAAAACACCCTATTTATTTTATTTTGCTTTCCATATGTTCTATCAGCTGGTTTATTTTATCACAGGTCATATATCGAATGTTTTTCGTATGCTTTGCAGGGCTCTCTCCTTTAAGGGTTCACTTTTCCCAAGGTGCCATTTAATGAATGTCACAGTGAGGCCTTGAGGGCTATATGTACTTTGAGAGCTGGCACTGTGTCTAACCAATGTAGCATTTCACCTGGGAAGCCTGAACTTCACATAGTACTCACATAGGACTCTCATAGGAAAGGAACTTAAATGTTAGATTCTATTTATTACCCTCTTAAACTTAATTCTTATCATGATTACAGACCTGCAGGAAAACCTGATTGCTCCAGGGTGAGTCAGCTAATTCTGGAAGCAATTTGTTTTTGGATCCTGAGCTAATTGAGAATCTGTGTGAGGATGGCTTATAAGAATCTGTCACCAGATTAATTTGTCCCTCTGCAACCTGTAACTTAAAACATCTCATATTTTTAACCACTAACATTTAAAGGGACAGCATCTTCATTTTTTTCAATACAATATTACTTTCACTTAGGGAATCCAGTAACTGGTTTAATTCAGTGATATACCCAGGCTGATAACTGCTATAAATCTTCATTAATCGTCACATGGTGAATATGCTACTATCAGTCAATGTGCAATATTGCATTTGATATTGCTTTAGAGTCGTTACTTTTATTTGAACAAAAATATCCTATACTAGTTTCCTCATTTGGAAAATGAAATTACAAGATGGCTATCAAGCTTCTAAAAGGTGAAAAGTACAAATATTTATTTTAATGTTTTCTTTCCAGTGGAGACCAATATTGCCAACGTAATCTGTGAGTGGGAAACGTAGGTATTCTCTTCATTTTTTGTACTTTCTGTTCACATGCAACTTACATGTAATTCCTGCATTATTTGCTCTCTGATTGGTGACTCTGCTGTTTTAAAATCAGCAAAAGAATAAAGGGCTGATTACAATCAAACTGTATTTTGTGTTTCTGCATAACGCAAGTCTACTTGTACAAACAGTGCAGTTTCTGTTGTGGCTGTAATAAACTAGAGCTCTGGACTCAGTCCTCAAGTTTCTCTGACCTACTAAACTTAACTGTAGTTTCAGTGCATATTTCTTTTAGCCTGTTCAATCATTGTTACAAAAAAGAAAGAAACACATATTAATAGTTCTGCTGTTTCACAGTCCTTATAAAAATTACAAATAGAAAATGTAGTACAGTACTATAATTTGAGGTGGGAACAAACTGAAAAGTTCAGCTTCACTGCTACGTTATTGATCGAGTTCATGGCTTTGATTCAGGCCCAGCTCTAATTACAGCATAATAATTTCCTCTCCTGAAGAGAACACTCTGATAGAGGCTATTTAGGAGATGATTAGTCCATTCCAGCAGTTTTTGATGAGTCATCTGGCCAGGAGTTATAAATGTCTGTCACTTGTCCCTATGACAAGTATGTTGCATGGGATATTTCGGTTAAAAGGAAAAGGCATTAACACCTTTTTTCCCTCCTTTCCTCTGGCCGCAATCAATTTCCAAGTTGCACACAGATGAGGAGACAGGGTCAAGAGGTATTATTTGTTTAATAATACTGCATTTTTCTTTCCAGTAATCTACCAATGCCATAACTTCAATATGTTTCTTTCCAGTGTTTCTTTCATTCTATTAAATGGATGCATGAAAACATACTGGCGGTGGAGGGAGAGAATTTCTTTGAAAATAATTTAAATTAATCTTTGAGGCAGCATGTTGTGAGTACAATGTGCACAGTCTTCCACTTCCATTGGTACAGCAATTCACTATTCCGTCATCTCTGGCACATGCAACTATCATGTATGCTTCAGACAAATCAACAACCTTTTCCCAAAGTGTAAGGATCCAAGACTTTTACCTTAATGAGAGAGTAAACACCACTTTCAACCTCCTTTTCAAAACAGATTAAAATCTGGGTTTTTAAATAATACATTATAAGACAGTTTTAATGTCATAACTTCTGTCTGGCTACTGGATATTGACAAAAGTGGCTGGGGTTTAAAGTCTTCTAGAAATGATGAGACATCCCACAATGCTGTCTTCTACAAGTACTGCACTGATGCGTCACCTCTCACTAAGAGCTCAAGTCCTATTGTGGGAGTGAACCCACAGCCTTCTAGTTTTTACTGTTCAAAATGACTGAAGAGGTGGCAGAGGAAACCCTGGACCTGCTATTACAATTTTTATTTCAATGCCATACATCATGTGCTTTTGGTGCTTTATTAAATTAAGAGGTACAATATGCTTTTACTTTTTGCCCTGTGCACAGGGCAATGTATAGCTGCGCTACCCATGGAGGCCCTCTGCCCATATGCACAATGGAGAGAGAGGAAGAATAAATGCAGTGTCCACTTACCCTATCCAAAACCAAAAGGCCCAAATAGACATCACAGAAAAACAAAGGGGAGAAGGGAGTATACTCTCCACGTAGGCCCACAGTACAGGCGATACATAATCGTTATTACTCTATTCCAGAAATGACCAAGCATAGTATTGTGGAGATGGCACATTGTAGCAAGGGGTAAAATATTTTATAATAATTAACATGTGTAAACTATTATAAGTATGAAACAAATCTTCTTATAAATATTTCTGAAAGTTTGTTTGTTTGTTTGTCCCAAAAGATCTCCGAAATGGTAAGAGCTAGAAACACCACATTTTGCATGGATACTACTGATTTCCTAACTTAAATAAGTGCCTTGGTTATATCTCGAAATTGGTTTCCCCAGTTCCCCCAGAGCCCCAATTAGGCCCACTGATAATTAGCTTTTAGTAGCGCCTGATAATAGTAACACAACATTTTGCACGGATACTACTGATTTCCTAACTTAAATCACTGGATTGGTTATATCTCTAAATCGGTTTCCCCAGAGCCCCAATTGGACCCCCAGAGCCCCAATTGAGCCACTAATTAGCTTTTAGTAGCACCTGCTCATAGGCATTTGCTGGACTCTTCTGTTAAGTGTGTCAAATAAACTGCTACTACGAGATCCTTTCCCTATGACACCAGAAAAAGTACTAGCTATGTTAATTTCTTAAAATAATATATGAGAAAAGTATTTCCAATAAAAAATGCTTTGTTAATATCATTGACATAGTTCATTCATCACACCTTTTACTATATTTTCCCTGGGCAATGCCGGATATTTCTGCTAGTTTAGAATAAAACACATTCAGTATAAATATATTGTGGTCATGTTAGAATATCAAATATTAATAATACTACCTAGCACTTCCTCCATCTTTCATACCCACGCAGAGGCCAATCACATGTTGACACTACGGCTGTAACAGTATTGAGTATTCATCCATACAGCTGTATACTTTCACTATTATTTGGCACCTATGTGCTTGTCCCATTAGGAAACATGAAGTGCGATTAATTTTATATTAGGCTCACAATGTCCAGTTCAGCACTTTCATGCAAAATACTATGGCTTTTTAATATAATGCTTCACTCCCCTTTTTGATTTGGAAGCCCTTTAAGTACATGATCATATGCTGCCAATGACATTTGACTAAGAACAGGAGGAAACTGGAAACCAAACAAATGCTATGAATAGCAACCAGTGGAAGAGATGGTTCATTTCAGAACTGGGTCAAATTAGATTTATATGTTACTTTATTTAGATTCATATCTGAGAAAGAAACCGATGCACCTTTCAGATCCTTACTTTCATTAGGATATCCCTTACTTCTTTCTCTTCTTTTTTGGGGTATGGAGAATATTTCTATGTTTATAGTACTTAAATAATTTGGGTTGTTCCTGCCCCTTCACACTGATTTTTAGCCCTGGAAAAAAATTGCCACAACCATGATATTTAATAAACACATTTTTCTTCAATCAGATGGTAGAAAATGTTCTAACAGTGACAAAAATTTCACCAAGTATTAGAGATACTAAGTAGTAAGTTTTAAGCTTCATAAAATGTTATCACTTCTAAAATCTCACTGCCTCATGTTTGCTACTAGAACAAAGCAATACTTAAAGAAGATTGTTCTTTACACAATATTGCTTGGAATCACAATAAACTGGTTTAATTTATTTGAAGTCATGATAGTCTTTTCTAAAATGGAGGTCATTACGGGTCATTTTACGCAGTACTGAAAGGATGACTTAACCCTTCTTATTGAAGTGCTTTAGTGGAGCACAATAATACTTTTAACTTAGAACTAACAGAAGAATATTATATATATATTTATATATACACACACACACGCCCACATCCCAACAGGTAGATTCAAAAACAACTGAGGATCCCAACTGCCACTATAGGTCTCTACATCCCCAAAACAGGCCTCCTAGGATTCACAAAACCTCTGCTCAGTTATCTCCAAGCCCTGTAGGCATTTAAAAAGTTCAGTGGCTAACAGTTTGCTGTACAAGTCCCCTAGGTGACCATGTTTCTATATGTGCACTGGAGCCCCATGCCAGGTATTTGGACACTTAAGCTGCAGAACAATTCATGAGCTGGAGAAAGAAAGACATTCCTTCACTTAACTCACCCATGCAGCCATATTCAGTAATCACATGCAGAGTTCACCTACCAAACTTACACAAGGCAGTGGTAGGGGGCGAAGAGGGTGGGATGAAGAAAAGGGGAAGGACAATCTCTCATAACTTATTATCACCCAGCTGTCAGATATCTGGTGTAAGTTCCCTCTATTTGATGGGCTCTATCACCACTGAGGAGAATGTCCTAGCCATAAGGGAGTACAATATTCTGAGGTAGAGAGGGGATCCTTTCATTCTCTCCTTCTGAAGCTGTTCCATTATGAATAAGCAATTTTAAAAGTGATAGGGCCAGGGAGAGAGAGAAAGAGAGAGAACAAGCTTGAAAATGACTCTCAATGAAAAAACTGACCTGGTGGATGGGTGACCCAGGGTCTAGCTCCCTTGCTCCAGTGGCTTTTTGAATGGTTTAGTCACAGTGGAACAGCTTCAAAAGGACCAAATGAGACTGCCCCGCCTGAGACTATCCCAGAGTCAACAGAGTGATAGGGCCAGGGAGAGAGAGAAAGAGAGAGAACAAGCTTGAAAATGACTCTCAATGAAAAAACTGACCTGGTGGATGGGTGACCCAGGGTCTAGCTCCCTTGCTCCAGTGGCTTTTTGAATGGTTTAGTCACAGTGGAACAGCTTCAAAAGGACCAAATGAGACTGCCCCGCCTGAGACTATCCCAGAGTCAACAGGTTA